TTTGCTCCTGTCAGGGCAGCACAGAAACACCAAGAGATGAAGCTGTAAAAGCCCTTCTCAGCTGCAGCTCCTCCATCCCTGAATCCCTTGGGTTTGACCCAGAACAAACCTCACTCCCTCAGCGACTCCTTCCAGAGCAGACAACAGAGCCAAGGTGAAACTGCCAAGATCTGAAAAACCTCCCTGAAACCCCAACAAACAGATGGCATCATTTGGGTTTTAAATGCTGCTTAGCATTTCCAGCTGCAAGTGGCAAATACCAAACATGCTCTGAATGTGCAAATGATGAGATCAACACAAAGGGGACAATGCAATTTCTGCTAAAGACAGGCAGCCAGAATGTTCAAACAGCCTGCACCCCATTTTCATACACTAGTCATAATTACTTTATTGCACTGGGAAAGGGCAATTGCTTTCCCAACAATCTGATAACCTTGGGCTGCTCTTAACTCTTTAATACCAGTTTTAACTACAAGCCCGGGCTGGGGCTGCAGTTTTAAGCCAATTACAGCAGTCTGATATTAAACACACGGGGAAAACGAGTTCTGTCTCACATACTCTGACACATCAGCACACAAGACACCGAAGAACATTCAATTCTTAAGCAGGAATTGCCATATATATATAAAAAAAATCCATTCCCAGCTCTAATCTCGAAGGAATAGCTTTATTAGCAGGAAATGGAAATCTGATTTTTGGCTTCTTTGTTAGATTTCAATAGGAAATGGAGCAAATATGGTGTGTTTTGACTGCTTGGAAGAATAAATTCTGTAGGGATCTGTTACCATGTCAAACTCGGGAAAAAAAGTCCCCAACCTTAAGTGCTTGAATTGTATTGACTCATATCATGGCTCAGTCATTTCCACACTGCCTCGTGATCCCACTGCTCACTGGGGCTGCTCATCAGGCTCTGAGCGAATCCAGGCAACTTCTCAACAGCAAAAACCACAAGTAACTGAGTTCCCAGCTTCAATTTGTGCCTGGGTTAAAAGCCTGCTGTGGGCAAGAACAGAAATGCAGTCAACTTCCCACAGCAAGGACAGAATGCTTTAGACTGCAAATGCTGCTGGAACACTTACTGCCTATTAGCAAAATTTCAATTTTATTTCAAAAAAACAAGTCAATTTCATCTCTACAAATACGCAAATTCACAAAGGAAACACTGCCAAAACCAAGGCGTTTTTTCTTGCTAGTCTCAAGAAAATTCGAATCAGCACTTAGGACAAAATATATTTCATGTACAAAATTGGTGTTACAGAAGCAGCAGTTATCTACACCAAAATTGGCTGCTTTCAGAAGAAGATTTACCTAATCACAGCTTTTTGCAGTCTGCTCATTTAAAAAAAGGGAAAAATAAGGAATGAAAAACCTACAAGTATCAAACTTTTAGGCCCTGATACTAACACATTCCAGATTTGTTATTTCACACTATATTGTGATCTTATGAAAATGAAAGTGATATCCATTCACAGAAGACTAATTAAACCGAGTTTCCTTTCAAAATTTGCCATTCTTTCCCAAGAGGAGAGCACAGCTACATTGTTAATGCTGAATTTACAGCCTCCACTTCTTCTGTACTTCTGCTAACGATAGAAAATGCCTGAATTCCAAACGCACCAATTACACAAAAAAACATTATGAGAAAATCTACACATCACAATCAAATCCTATCTATTCCACTAGTAAAACATTTATCCAATTACCCAGCCCTTTTCTTGGATAAACTTGACACACATGTTTCCTAGGGAAGGACAGCTTGTTTTAATCATTTACATTTTTCAACACTATTTGTTCTCACTTGGTATCCAAAGGTCAGAACTCAAACCACTACCCCAGGCAAACTTTGGAATAAATACTATTTTTGTCCAGTCTTCTGGAAAGAGTTGCACTTCTGCTAAGAAAGCTGAAGTATAAAAACCAGATTTCCCTCTGACTCATTTCAAGGTGCCTGACATTATTTTTCATGAAGTTGTCTGATAGTGTGTATTTTATGGCTGCTCTTTATTTATGTGGGAGAGTTACATCATTAAATGCTTTTCCAGTCTTTAGTAATGGAGAAATTTGTCCTGTGTTCTGAAACACTGGAGAATCAGCCAAACAAGGTTCAAGGCTAAGCAAGGTCCAGTTGACAGAGTTTGAATTATGCCAGCTGTGATCCCAGCTCTCCTTCCCCAGCCCCCCTTCCTTATTAATACATATTAATAAAGATTTGCCTGTTAGGGGCTGGTGATTACTGCAGCTAAAGGCCTCATCAGGGTGCTGTTCAGGACTACCATGGTTTAGAAACCATTTCTCATTTTATTTACCTTTAAAGCACAAAATACAACTACTCATTGCTCTCATGTGTCATTTGCCGAGTCTGGCACTTTAAATACACAAGGTTCAAGCGAGAATAAAAATTATTTTAAAGCAGGAATAGGTATCTTGGCCAAAGCATTACAGCTCACCAAAACTAATAAAGCTGCTCTTGTTGAGGCTGTCCCAGGCATGAGGCACCCCCAGGAAAGCAGCAGAGCTACCCCAGCAGCACAGGCACATGGAATTTGTACTGCCAGTGCCTGGGAAATGCTGCTGCTCCTGTCCTGTTCCCTAATTCCCTAATTTCAGGCCAGCGAGCCCCATCCCCAGGCACATCCCACCCCTGGGAGCCAGCTCCCAGCTCAGCTCCTGCCTGGACATCCTGCACAGCACAGCTGCCATTTGTGGAACTGGGACCAGTCCCGGGCAGGCTCTGATGCTCTGGGGGAGCAGTGGCCACCTGCAGCAGCCCTGGCAGCATCTTCTGACCTACAAGACTGCACAAAAGTGGTCTTTATCCAAACTTTGCCTGGGCTATGCGAGTTCTGACCCTTGGATACAAAACCGAAGCCTAAGCCTGACTCTGTCAGAGCCCAGCCTAATGCCCCAAAGACCCAGCCTTCATCTGGAAATCACCTGGCCAAAACTCCACAGCCTCAGCACCCTGTGCCTGTTCCTGTGCCCTGCCTTCACTGCTGCTTCTCCTACTGCTCCCTGGCTCTCAGGTGAAATATCCTGCTAGCCACACGGACCCACAAGCTACAGAAATACTGCTCTGCTTTAATACTCAGTGTGTGCCTTCTAAGCCAACACAGCCCTGCCAGCAGAACCTCTCGGCATCTCCTAACATGGGCACACGGACCCAACAACACTCAGAGCCATTAAAGAATTCAATAATGAGAAATGCAGAGATTACAGCACAAACCCTCTCCAGCCAAGACAAGGAGGTTTAGGATTAGCTCAGTGATAAAAACAGCTCATCTCCTTCCCCACACACAAAAATCAAACCAGGCTCTGGGCAGTGAGCTGTTAACCACTCACCAGGAGACAAAGCCCCATCTTTGTCACCTTTACACAAACAAAAGTAAACACAAAAGGCTTTGAGAGGAACATCAAGGGACTCTCTACAACCTGTAGTAAAACTGCGAAGACAGGCGATGCTTTCTGACAGAACAGCTGTACACATCATTATGTTAATTAAAATTAAAGTCTCATCTACTTAGCATACAAGCAATTCACTGAACCTTAGTGACAAAAGGAAGGAAGCATTTCCTCAAAGGGCCATAATCACACACAACTGGAACAAGTTGCCTGCTTGCACCGAAGGCCACAGCAGCAAGGAGACAGAGAAGTATTCAAGAAACAGTCCTGGCTATTTTAAGCAAAACAAAGCACTATCAACCCTAAAGCACACACAAAGGAAGTGGTGGGATAGATTACGTCAGCTCTCGCCTCAATTCATAAATCCTAACCACAAAACAAGACAAATTCTCAACTGCCTCCCTCTGGAATCCTGTTTAAAGCCAATACACGCAGTTTAGGGCTTAAAATACGCTCTCGAACAACACTCGCTGATGCATCACTTTCAAACAGCAACCAGGGGGTGAAAAAAATGGTGTAATCCAAGTGAATTCTATCGTGCTGCCAGATCAAATAACATTTCGAGAAGTGCCTGCCAAGCACCCAGCCTGCCAGAGCACAATGAGCACTCAAGTGCTTGGGACTTAAAACCACCTTTCACTGGTCCCAGAGATCTTTATAAAATAGTTTAAACACTACCAAATTACAGGGTTGGAAAAACAAATAAAAGCTTATAAATGCTGCTCCTGCACCATTCTCAGCTTGCTGTCAGGATCTCAGACGTGTCTGCTGATAGTCACTGGGCACGAGGATGCAGAAACCGCCTGCAAGAACAAAAACTGAGAGAAATGTGGAGTCGCTCGCACGTCTGGAAATAATTGCCTGCAGATTAACAGCTTTCCATGGGAATATGCTGTCTGTGGGGTTCGAAATCTAGCTGACTTTAAACCGAGTTCCCAGAAGAAACCTATCTGAGGAGCATCTGAAATTACACTCAAACTACTGGGTTTCCATTCGCCGCTTTCTTCTACTTCATGCCCAACATTAATGTTAAGTTTAAAACAACAAAGGAGGAAATGGAGTGGCCTTGTCAAGCGCCATTTCCACTCCCCGACAATTAAAGCAGCCCCATATGGCTGTGAGGAGCCATCCAGCCACACAATGCCCCATGCAGGGCAGAGCCACATGGACTCAGACGAGCTTAAAACCAATTGCAAAACAAAGCAGAGCCGGTTTTTTCCTCAGGAAACAAAGTGGCCGAGCAGGTCTCCTGTCACTATCTTAAAACACCAGTAAACATCGTTTGAAAAGTTCCCCCACACACTGTCCCAATTAGCGCTTCAAAGACATTCCATTGCAACAAGCGTAATGAAAAAGTACTTTCTTCCAGGATAAGGAAAATGCAATCCTTATCTCATTTGCTTTTAAAAAACAGAATTAAACACAGCAGTCTGATTACCCGAACTGTTTATATATACAACAGGGAGGTAAAGCATTTGCTATGGAGAGAAATAGGAAAAAAATAACAACCAACTGAAAAAAAACCCCAAAACCCAACCCTGCAGCCTTTAGAGCATTCGGAACTTCCCAGGTCAATAACAACCTACCCACGCCTCACCTACCAAGTCGATCCAACTTTTTCTGAAAAAGAAACCCCAAAAAACTGGAGCAACGCAAAGCGGAAAAGAGAATTAAGCCAAGCCTTTCCTCCATCCAGGCAGTTATCGTTGGCCAGGTAACAATTAGTCAACTTGCAGAGCAGCCTTGATTCTCCGGATGGGAAGGAAGGCGGCTGGCAGCGGCTCGGGCAGCCCGCGGCTCCGGGGNCGCTCCGCCTCCTCGCTCGGCGCCGCCGGAACCGGGAGCCCCGTGATTGATGGCAGCGCTGCCGGAGCGCGGGCAGCGGGAAATCGCAGCTGCGAGCGGCGCAGAGCCGAGCCCGAGCATCCCCCGGGCCCGGTGCCACCGAGCACGGGCTGGGAACGCACCCCGGGCCCGGGGAACGCCGATGGGCCCTGGGGAACACAGATGGGCCCTGGGGAACACATCCCGGCCCTGGGGAACACAGATGGGCCCTGGGGAACACATCCCTGCCCTGGGGAACACATCCCTGCCCTGGGGAACACAGATGGGCCCTGGGGAACACATCCCGGCCCCGGGGAACACATCCCGGCCCTGGGGAACACATCCCGGCCCCGGGGCAGAGCCCCCCACGCCTTCAGCCCCAGCACGGGTGACAGGCACTGCCCGGCCAGGACCAGCCTCTGAGACACCTTGCACAGCGATTTGGCTGCTCTGTGCTCAATTAGTGAGCCATTTTGTTCAAAATCTTCCCTATGACGCCTTCCTTCCCCCCATTAGGAGCAGAAATTCATCTGCTCAGCCGAACGTGTTCCTTTTAACTGTATTTAATTGGATTTTTTATAAAGAATGAATATTTATCTTACTGTGCATCTCCACGCAAACCTGTAACTCATCTCCCAGTGTCTTGTGCTGTTCCTCAACACCACAACCGTAACCTTTCAGATGTCAGTACCGACTTCATTTCAGAGCAAAGCTCTGCTATTTCCCTTGCAGAATAACATGCAAAACAAGTCATCTATGTAATCCATTACCTTGGGGCAACACACACTTTATCCCTGCCGAGCAAATCCATTTCCTAGTCACACAGTAATATTTTACCTATAAAATAAATATGGGAGTACACCACCTCCGAGCTAGTTTTACAAAACCAAGGGAAAAAAATAAAAAAATAAAAATTGGGAAAAAAATGATAATCATTAAGGTTCACAGACCCGGTTAATTAGAGCAACACCCTCAAGTACTGCCTGCCAACTTCATCTTTCCAGAGGCTGCTAATTATTTGTAGTTGTGTATCTTCCCACAATTTAGCCATGCCCATTTCTACCATTTTCATAGCAGAGCCCAGGAGTCCTTCAGCAGACAAAGATCTAAGTTTGAAATTTATTCTGTAATTTCTAGAAATAGCTCCCTAAAACCACCCACCCAGCCGGAGCAGCTGATTAATTCCAAGGCGCCCTCGCCGCGTCGCAGGGCTGCTGTGATCGATACAAATCGAGGGTGGTGCAGGCACGAGCTGCACTCCTGCAATATTCATGGTCCAACAGCTCCTGAAGCAGAGCCTGTCTTCAGCAGACCTGGTGCAAAACAAGCTTTGGAACCAAGAAGCCGTGTGATAGCTCCAAACCTGCCAGAGCTGAAATTCAATCCTCGAGTCAGCACAAAGCGACCACATCGCGTTCATCCTCACTCCTCAATTTTCTAATCAAATGTGGCCCAACACCTGGCACGTGCTGCTCCAGAGTGTATTTAAATCAGCCTTTACTCCTAATGACTTCCAAAAGAGCTTTCCAGCAGGAAGTTCATTCAGGCCAGGTTTCATCATTTGAAAAATAACCCTGTTTGATGGTTCTTGTTCAAAAACACCGTATTCCTCTAGGGCAGGTGACGCAGCCAGCTTGGACCACAAATCCCTCAGCTCAGTAAACACTGGAAAATGCACTCAGGTAATAATAATAATAATAATAACAATTTTAAAATGCGTGGATTTCTTTGTATCCCATTAGGATGGAAGTTGTTCAAACAGGGCAGAGCAGCATCTGGCAGTCTGAGCACAGCAACAGAACTGGAGACTATTCTTGAATCTCAGACACTGTCTTGCAAATCCAACACAAACCAACTTCCGAATTCAGCAGTGTGGGAGATGGCAGAGAAATCATCTCGAGTCCCATCTGTTTGTACACAGCATTCTGGAGATCCTTGAATGAGCAGAACAGCCACAGCACTCAATCACCGACATCAGAGACAACTCAACTTTCACTAATTGGCTTTCCTAGGAGATATGGAGATCTGCCCCCATTTCAGAGACTAAAATAAAAAACATGCACAGAGTACGGCCTCAAGCACCATTTTGCAATAGGGACTTTTTATCTTGGCTTTTGAAAATGGACTATAAAAGATCTTTTCTTGGTCATGAAATACACCTTTGCTAGCCACAGCATTATAAAATTACAACAGCATTTCTTTTTTTATCTCTTCTGCAAGCTGGATATCTGAAAAAGGGGGGGAAATGTGAGTTACACATTCACAAAGCTCATCAAGACCAGGCAAAATCTACTTCCACACGGGTCAGGAAAACCCACTGGAAAGAGGAGACCTCGAGTGGAGATTCCCTGAACAGACAGGGTTGGAACCACTGCCCAGAGACCCCTCACTACACCCCGAGGTGTTTGGTCCAGAGTGCATCAGTCCTCTGGTGCTGCACAATGGAACAAAGCTCGACTCCACTGCCTGCAAAATCCATCCCAGCTTTCTTGGCAGGCTCCATTTATCAAAACAAGCCTGTCATGTCGAGTACCATTAACAGATAATGAACTGAGACAAGGGATGCAGTTACAAGCAAAGCACTCCGCATGCTACAGGCCTGAGCACACAGCCAAGGGAGCTGATATTTACTATAAACATCATAATTAAATAGAACACCTAGCTGAAGAAACATTAAGGTCGTGACAATAAACAACAGAAGCTGGAAATCTGAAGAAATAAGGCTTTGACTCGCTGTCAGTAATTCCTGACACTGCTCAAAGGCATGTGCACATCCAGCCCTGCACACCTTCTCTTCTCGCAGCTAAAATCTGGGAAGCACCTGTTAACTCACAGCTTTGGGCTTTCAGCGCTTTCCCCGAATCCTGTAACACTTTGTATCCTGTACCCACGCACTTCAGCTCATGAAAGATTGAGCGCTGAGAAGTGACAGACAGTGTATCTTCAAAGGGCTGGAAAATGTGCTGCTTTCCAGACACACGACTCATAACAAACGCGAATAATTCATAACTTCGCACGAGTCCGACCCTATTGGAAGAATATTAAACACAGACGCACAAATTGGAGGAATATTAAATAAAGATGTAATCCCTCCAAGACACAAGACCTATCAATCAGCAGCATTCCCCACTTCTGACAGAACGAGCCATCGAGCACACATAAACATTCCACCCGCTGCAAAAACCGCTCCAAAGGAGCAATTCCGGCTCTCCCAGGTATCCAAACACTTGGAACACAAACTAACCGTAAACAGGCTTAATGAGATTATACAGATTAAACGGGTACAGCAAGTTGTTTTTCTTCAAGAGATGCTCATGACAAAGAGGTGCCACCAACACTTGGAAGCGGCTCCCCCTGACCCCGAGCTCACCACAACTCAGATTCTAAAGCAGGCTGGACAACACCGGTGGCTCGCAGACTGAACACGAATAGAACAGGACTTAACAGTGTCTTCAGAGGGGCACGTAAGTCACGCTCTGCCCTCGGGTCTGGCCTTGGGCAGGGGGGAAGAGGAAGGGAGCAGGATCATGGAGAACAAACTAACAGCTTAATGCTGTCCCAACAGTGTTTTCCTTGTATGTCATCAGTTGTGGTGCTCATCAAGTCTCTGTCAGTGGTGTAACCCCAGCCAAAACGCCCACAGTTCCTCCAGTGAAACAAAAACCTGACAAGAGGCAGCTCCAAGTCAAAGTGAGCTGGAGAATTCCAGGGGCCAGCGGTGACCTGGAGATGTCTCAGCACAGGAGAGGAATCGCTGGCTGAGCTGCCAGCAGGAAAGGTCACCCCCTGTGCTCCCAGCAGCAGCACTGAGTGTCTGTAACCCATCTCTGATTGTTTGCACTTGGACATCAAAGCACCCCGGCTCTATCTAAACACAAAACCTTTGGTCAGGTGAGAGGTGAGGCTCTGTTCCTGTGTAAATAATGCACAAACAGCGAGAGGAAGCCATGCCCAGCCCCTGACAAGACACTTACTGCTGTGTACACATAAATTCCTTCAAATGCACTGGCAGCAGAAGTCGTGCCTGTGCTTGCAGCTCTGCGAGCAGCCACAGGAAACCCGCAGCACCCCAGCGCTGCTCTGCTCCGTGGTTACACCAGGGTGCTCCTCCACACTGCTGAGAGAGGAAACTCGGCTGTTCCTGCCCCAACACAAGCCAAAAGCCACTTGGTGCTGCAGTCCCAGCCTAGGGAGGCTGTAAGCTGTGCACACAGCTGAGAGCCACGGCCACTTCTGCTGCACCACATCTGCACACGCAGCAGTTCTTCCAGTGCCAAGGGTTATTTTCATTTCCAGTGTAACTGCTGGAACTGGGATGAGCCATCTCCTTGCCTCTCTCAAATCCCCAGAAGGAACCTGTGTCCTGTACAGACCAGGGACCTTAAGAAGCTTGGCTTTTTTAGCTGGGTAAGATTTTGTTTTGTTGGGGCGAGGTTTCCCTGTTACATTGAATTACCAACACTATCACACATTTTATGGCTCAAGAAATGTGACTCCTTCCCTGCACTTACGTGGTGCTCTGGATATTCCAGGTGACCTCTGGCCAAGCTCCAGGTCCTCACGGGTCACTGTTAAACCCCACACCACATCACCACGCTGGGACTCAGAACCGTCTGAGGAACCTCAGCCTCTTCTTAACGACCCCTGGGCCCGAGAATTGCAGGCAGTGCCCTTCTGTAACTGCCACCAGCAACTGCCACCAACTGTCCCAGTGCCAGCGCTGTGGGGTCACAGCTCTGCCTCTGCGGCACCGCAGCGACAACGCCTCCCACAGAAAGCCCATTCCTGACTCCTGTGCTCCTCACTGCAGCTCAGAGCCACTGCTTGGCAAAGCTGCCCCGCATTGTCCTCAGCCCCGAGCCTGTGGCACAGCCCAGAGCTGCCAGGGGCCAGGGACAGCATCCCTTGCAATGGGGCAGGCACTCCAAGGATACCTGGGGCTGC